TCACGTGACCTTGGGGGTCACGTGACCTCGGGGGTCACGTGACCTTGGGGAGGCGACCACGTGACCTCGGGGGTCACGTGACCTCAGAGGGGTCACGTGACTTGGGGGTCACGTGACCTTCAAAGGGTCACGTGGGGTCATCTTGGGGTCACGTGACCTTGAGATGACCTTGGAAGGGGTCACGTGACCTCGAGGGGTCACGTGACCTTCAGGGGGTCACGTGGGGTCACGTGACCTTGAGATGACCTTGGGAGGGGTCACGTGACCTTGGGGGTCACGTGACCTTGGGATGACCTTGGTTACGCCGACGCCGACGGCGACGGCGACGGCGACGCCGACGCCGACGCCGACGCCGACGGCGACGTCGCTCAAGCCGGGAACGGGCCCCTAAGAGCTGCGCTCTAAAAAATCACACCGCCAGAAAGTTGACACTTTAATTCAGGTAGTTTGCAATTTTTGCTGATCCACTTGTGCCCCCTGGCCCTCACGGCGCCACCATTTGCAAGTGGCAGCAAATATCATCCTTGTCAAGGGCCAAGGCCTCCATCCTTTTTAATCGAGTCAATAAAACTGTAAAAGTCGAGTGCGCACTCAACGTCCCAATTATAAAGGGTGTTACACTCGAAATAAGGGTTCTGAAACGGTAGCCATGGGTGTCTGTAACACCCACCCCTCATCTGCGAATTCGGGGACATAGCCACAGTGTGGGAACTTTTCGAGGATCCTCCAACGTTCGACGTTCGTGTGAGCCCTGGCTATCGCTGCGTGTCGCAGTACAGAAAGGCGCGCCCCGAAGCGGCCGACCAAAGTTGCTCGAGCGGAGCGGGGCCTCGTGGCACTCGCTCCTTCGAATGCTGGGAGCACACGCAGTGGCCATTTTCTCCGCGCTTGTGGGGGCTGAAGTGGGCACAGCTCTACCCTGGCGTCGAACAGAGCGTAAGTACGGGGCTGACTCCCGGCAAGCGAGTCGGCAGAACGAACCACGTCATCGCGAAGCATCGCTGAAGGGCCGAACACTCCCAAGGGCCGCCGGAATGGCCACTTGAGCCCGACCCTGGGGGGGGCGGAATGGCCACTTGAGCCCGACCCTGGGGGGGGGGGGGGGGGGGGGGGCGGGCGGGAGTTAGCCCCGTACTTACGCTCTGGGGGGGGGGGGGGGGGGGGGGCGGGCTGCAGGACCCCGAAGCCACCGTCGCGTGACCTCGGCTGAGAGAAGCGTCGACCGAGGCGGCTCGACTGACTGGGGCCCTGCACGAAGACTCGCGTTGACCGCCCACGGAATCTTTCCTGGAAGTGTTTTCCCCTTTTACGGTGACCTGGGGCCCTAACCTGGACGCTTGACGGAAAAGTCGGCGAGAAATTCGGCGGCTATGATTAGCCGACGCCAAGGTCAAGTGTGGCGTTGGCCAATCGCAGCCGCCAGATTTCTCGCCGTCGTTTTCGCCAAGCGTCGAGCTTAGGGCCCCTGGTATTACGTTTCATTTATTATCTCCTCCGTGCACGGAAGGATTTATTAGTCAGGCTGGGGACGGGGGGAGGGGGGGGTGGGTCTGCAGAGAGAGGGCGATGCGTTACGCTGATCCACTGTGTTGACTTAATATTTGTCATTTCACCAAAAACTAAACATTTCTTTAAAAGTAAAGCTGGTTCTTACATAAAAAAACTGCCTTAAACGCTTCTTTTTTTTTTGAGAGAGAGAGAGAGAGGGGGGAGGGCTATTCAATCAGTCCGTGCCCCCGTGAGCGTGACTTTATTTTACAAGCACGGGGCGCACACCTTTGAACGGGAGGCGATGAGGTTCCTTGCATAGCAAACATAAACGACTCTTTCATCAGCGAGTTTTTAGTACTTGGATGGGATACCAAACTTGACGGCGTTTGGGGATGCACCCAGAGACCACCGAAGCTGTCGCAGCTTCGTCCTAGCAGAAGCAGCCCAGATTCGCTTCCGCGGTAAGCTCATTGCCCCAAAATTTCCGTGGGCGAGCCATGGGCGTTGTCTGCGTCGCCGCAGGAGCTCCGCACCAGCTTCGGCGCTCCAGGCCTGGAAGGAAGGACCTCGAGAGACTTCCCGCGCCGCGCAGCGCAGCCACGGGAGCTCCAAGCCTTCGCGCCAACGGAAGTCCCGAGACACCAGGGCGGCCTTGGAAAAGGAGCGTAGGACCCGGGTCCTGCCGGCGCAAGCCACCCACGAAGCGCCCAAAGGGTGCGTTTGCTGAGCCCCGCCGCTTTTAACCTCGCTTTGACTTTGTTGCGCCGAGGAAACGTTGTAGAAAAAATAACGATCCATAATCAGAAATATGTAAACATGTAGCTGAATGTAACAAATGTGTACCACTGTGGGGTTTAACTTTAGTGGAATTGTCAGAAAAAAAAAAAACACTATTACAAGCGCCTGATAAAGGAATCGCTAACAATACTAAAACGCGGGAACGTTGTTAACAAGCATTCGTTTTGTGGGCGGCGGCAAAAAGCTCACCGGAGCTCAGCGCTTGTCCCGTCTGCGTGTTTTTTTCTCCTTCGTCCGTGTTTGTTTGCGCTGTTTTTACATTATGCTCATCGGAGAAAGGCTCACCGAAAAAAAGCTCACCGGTGAAAAGCTCACCGCAAAACCAACAGATGCGGAGAAAAGCCCACCGGCCCTTGAGCCTTATACCAACAGATGCTCAACGGCCGGTGTACTTTATATCGGTTAGCTTTGCACGAGCAAAACTAACCGATATATTTTTTTTTTCATAGTTCAGCGGATTGTGCGTTGCGCGTGACAATTTAACAAAATTAAAATTCGTCACTTCATTAAAAAAAATGTCTCATTTTTTATAACATTCTTGAAGGTTATTGGGCATATTCTTCAGAAATTATTAATAACCCATTTTGTTTATTAATCAAGCCGCAAGTATAAAATCAAAACGTGGGACACCCATAAAAGGGGCAATTTATTGACAGCTTGTCAGTGCGCCGTCGATAGCTCTGTCAGATAAAAAGGTTAGGTTTTTTACAAGCTTATATGAGTTGCGTCGTGTGAACCGTTTCAGTTCTGAAGATTGGGTGATGCCTGATAGATGATCAGGTGTTTCTTCATGTATACAATTTCGGCTACGCTTTTTGTTTTTTAAACAAAATTTTAGTTGCGAGAACACCTTCGTCCTGTAGTGTGTGTTGTCTTCACCCCCTCTTCGTCGTTTGCGCTGTTTTTATTATGTTTACAAAGTCGCCCAATTTGCTACCCCAGTACAGAAGACTAGTTCTTAAATACTTAGGTCACGAGTAACATTGGTGACAGTGTATAGCTCTGAAGGTCATGGGTGGTTCGCTGTAAAAGAGCTCTGTCACACAAACGCAACGTGTGAGAAAACCAACACGAACGGCTAGCAAACGTGCAAGTCCGTGGAAGAAAGAAATCTTGATATCCTACTGACCGTTCTATCCTGTCTTCAAAGATTAACTTAATACTATTTAAAAAAAAATTTAAGACACCGTGGTGTTGCACATGCACTTTCGAATTAGCGGTATTTACAGTTTTGCTTTTTAGGCTTTAGACAGGCATTACTAAGTTTTTGAATTTTTTCCTGTTTTCGAAGTTCATGAAGTTTTCAGTTAGACTTTCGTTGTCTACAAAGTAAACCACTCAAAGCCTTCTCCCGCAATTATTCATTTGGTAGCAATATACTCAATCAGCTTCACAAATCTTACAAAAAGAGGACATTTTTTTTTTTTTACAAAACTAAAGAATTATAATGGCAATAAATTGATGTATGTTACGCGTGATCCGACAGCCTCCCGCTACGAGAAAAACAAAAACAACATCTGAGCTTTTCTCCGCATCCGCTGATTTTGCGGTAAGCTTTTCTCCGTCGAGCTTTTCTCCGGGTTCCTGTATTGTGTAGAGTTTTAACTACGATGGTTTTTGGGGGGTTCGAAGGTGGTGACCTTGAAGTTAATTTGTCGAAGTAGTCAGGGAGAGTGGGTGACGTGACCTTCTGTTTCGTTTTGTGCTACCGAACAAAGTTGTTCCGGTGAGGAGTGACGTATTTTGTGGTGATCTCTTAGATGTGGAAGGAGGGTCTTTGGATTTCTCTCTTTCCGTTTTGTATGGCCTCGGTGCCTATTTAAGAACTTCTTGGAAACTAAATTATTCAGCTGTGTTCGTGACCTAATAGTGTGTCGTTTTTACCTGCAGTGTCGGGATGTTTTGTCATGCGAGGAATTGTGTTCTCTTTCGTTCTTGCGAAACAGGCATCCATTAGCTCACATTAGCTTCTCTCCAATAAGGGTGGGGACAGGGTGCTGTCGCAACTGAAAAATTGGCACAAAACTAAAAGCGCGAGTGATAACACGTGCAAAAGGAAGGGAGAATGAAAATAAGCGACGTTTCGGGCACACGCCCTTCGCCAGACTATAGTGCTTGCGCCCGAAACGTCGCTTATTTTGCTTTCCCCTTCCTTTTACACGTCTTATTTCTCACGCTTTTAGTTTTGTTTCAACGGCATACCCGAAGGGATTAGAATTTACGCGAACCTGGCAGTCGTTGATAAACGGTGGATTTCTTGGTCACCATTTGCTGCATGCAGTTTGACGGGTACTAGGCCGTGGGCTGTGGAAACGTGCACTGTTCGAGCCGGATGCCACGCTCTTTCGACTCCGCGGGGCTCTCTTCGTCTCGCACTCTGGGTGGGAAAGCCGGGCTCAGAGGGCCAACGGAACACCACATAAATCCCAACTGCAGTCGTCTTCCCTCGGCGAGAAATACGAATAGAATGACGTCGAACGAGTGGAATCGAAGGAAGAGGACAGCCACGAGTGCTCAAGCACGCGCGAGGAAAATCATAATGCACGGAAAATGTATTAACACGTAGACTAAATATTCGATGGCAAATTTTCAACGTCGAACATATCTAAAAATCTGCGCGCTCGTGCACGTGCTTTGGCATCGCGCAAAACTCTCAAGGCTCTCCATATCGGCACAGTGTGACAGCAGCGGCAGCAGCAGTGGCGGCGGGGTCGGGGTCCCCGGAACAGGCGGCGCCCATGGACTCTAGCGAGACGTCAAGCTGGCTGCCCGGCATGCTTGCGCTTCAGGAGTTGCGCAACTGGCGGCCATCGGCGAAGGGCGGCACGCCGGTCACCAACGAAGAGATGGTGGTGGCCCAGGGCCGCTACCAGCGCTCGGTGACCGCCGCCTGCCTCGGCTCGTGCGCGCTAGGAACCACGCTAGGCTACGCGTCGTCGGCGCTGCCGTCCATCAGCAAGGAGCCCTGGTACAGCGTCCACGCCAGCCGCTGGTTCCTTGACGGCCCGCTGCTCGTCGCCGCGCTCGGAGCCCTCGCGTCGGGTGAGACCGGAAGGACATTTATTTTATATTATCACTTTGTTCAGACAGCATTATTGTCTGCAGCATCAGGGCAAAATACCAGATGGTCTGACGAAGCCTCGATGCCGCTATAAAACAGAAGTAAAACAATTGATCACTGTCGGCCGCCGAAAGTCCGGTACATCGATCTCTGAGAAGGCAGCTGAAGCGACACTACTCCGCCATATGAAGTGCAAAGACCCTCTTCCCTCCGTCTTTTTTGCCAGGGGGAATGCTTCCCTCCGCCACGTCCACTTGTGTCCTTCACGGAGACGTGAGCATGGTCATCACGTGGGTCCGGGCGGCCATTCACACGCTCTGTTGGCTGTTATGTCAATCGCTCAAGGCCCCCGCTGCTGTTCAAGTCCCGTAAGCGGTATTTGAATGATACGAAGGTGCGGCAGAACAGACGGACAGGCAGCAGGCCCACCTTTGGTGTGACGTCAAGTCTGACGAGCACCGAGATCACAAAAAAGCAGAGGAGGCCAGGAGAAAAACCGTGATGTTTGCCTGGTTCATGTCCAAACAGAAGACGAACTGCCAAACTTCAACTTTCACTTCAAATGGCGAAGGATACTTTAGAAGAGCTTAGTGCTTAGAATAGGATGCTTTAGAACGCCTCGCGAGTTCCAAATAATCCTGTTTAGACACCCCTTTAGTTAACTTTCTGTGCGGTGTCTACCGCCGGCTGATTCAATAAAGCGCGAAGAGTGCGCCGCCCTCTTGCGTACTTTTAGTCTGTGGACCTGTTTGTCTGCCCCTCGAGTGCTCGTGGTAAACCTAAGCCCCCCTCCCCCCTGACAGACCGGCCCCCTGTAGCTAAAGGGGTATTCACTTCAGACGGGGAGAAATTCCGCTATTTGCTTCCCGGGATGCGTGTCACATGGTAACAACGTCACGCTTTTACGCCGCGTTGGCCGAGACCTATTAAGGGAATGGAGAAGTTTTTGGTCGGGCTGCACAAACATTGCTCGCGTTGGCATGGGATCTCTGCAATCGGCGGTACTTTGTTGGCGTGTCTGGCAACTTTCCACATTTTGCCCAGCGAGATGCCGGTTGTGGCACCGGGATCGCCTAACTTGCTGTGGTTTGCGCTATTACGCATGTCGTTCGAGGCACCGAGTCTTCGATGTTCATCAATGCCGTCCTCTAAGCCGCTCCTTATATGAGCGGTTTTTGATTGCTTGTCCTTTGTGTTGCATTCCACCATTCAAGAAGCATCTTTCTCTTAGCAGGAAGCAGTTTGTCGTCTTCTGCATGTAACAGCGCTGCCATCATAATCGTGTATCGCCGTTTCATGTGCATTTTTCTACTCTGGTCAGCGCGAACCAAGCCCTGTTGTTTCCAGATTTTGATGTAGGGATTATGTAAAAATAATGAAGAAAAAAATGTAGATCTGACTGTGGGACCGCTAAATGCGTCTGATAACACCCGCTCCCCGCCTTTCGCGTGAATCCTTGAGTCGGGGAGGGAGTCGCGCTGGTTCCGCCGATCACTGACGTCGCGCACATCCCTCCCCCGAAAGCATCCTCCGTGTGAATACCCCTTTACTCCCAGGATTGATTGCTGAAGGCTAAAGTATAATGCAAATCTTCATATAGACTGTATATCAAGAGGAACACGTGTTTGCTACTCGCTTACAGTCTCAAAAGGCCTGCCTACAACTGCCTCGCAATATTCCCCACCCCTGAAGAAAATGTTATGCTACGCCACCGACTCGGAGCGTCGGGGACATCCAGTTGCCACTGTGAGAGCTGGACCATTTATCCGCTTTCACGATACGGACGAATGGTGCTTCGAGTGCACCGCGGTGAAGTATACACACAGTATGGGTCACTGATAATAATAACCCTCCATATACTATATGGCCCCACTGGGCAGAGCAACGTGTCTTTTTCCGCGCACTCTGAGCCGCTTGAAAGTACATGTGACGCAATTGACAATGACGTCCTCGGTGATTGCCCAGGCTTCCTGGTGAGCCAGCTGGGCAACCGGCGCACCCTGCTGGTCTCAGCCGTGGGCTTCGCGGGCGGTGCGCTCATCGTCAACCTGGCCACCAACATGTACACACTATTCCTGGGCAGGGCTGTGGGCGGCTTCTACCTGGGCGTCACGTACAACTGCGCCACCACCTACGTGGCCGAGATCGCCCCGGCCGACAAGAGGACCTGCCTGGCCGGCTTCGTCGAGGTGCGTCCCGTTCGTCCGGAGGCCGCAGCAACGTCACTCTTGCCAGAGTTTGCGGGCGTTTAAGCCATCGGCACTTCAAGATAAATTTGCGGTGTAGTCCTCGGGAAACAAAGGGTCGGGTATAGGGATAAACAACGTTTTCAAACGGGCCGTGTTTGAGATTGCATCCAAGACAACGTTACTATAGGCGGGTGAGCTGGTTGTTGTTCGATACACTAAAACCCGAGACGAAGGCAAAAAAAAAAAAAAAAAAGGAGGACAAACACAACGTCTGGAACACTGCTTTGTGTTCCCCTTTTTTTCCCCCGAATATTCAGTATGGGGTCTCCATAATGACTAAACTTGTTGAAAGCAACGTATGCGTCACCATGCAGTTCCTTTCTTGCAGTTCGGAAATGAATCGAAGTAACTCGGCCCGTAAGTGCCCCGATGTTCCCGATGTTGACGAGCCGCAGTTTCGGACGTTCATTGACATAAGCCAGGGACGAGCGACGGTCGGAACACAGAAGTCTGTTCGGATATAAAGATGTCTGAGCTCAGAATACCAAAATGGTGAAATGACGAAACCCGTCCATTCCGAGGGTAAGATGTCGGAAAGAGATTGTTCTCACTCCGGTTGCTGTTGTCTTGGTGGTGCTTGAGCGGGTCTGGTCTCAGGGTTTTCCGCGTGTCCCGGTACGTGCACCATGGTCAGTCTCTCTCTTTGGGATGCCCGAATGCTTCCTTGACAGGCGTACCCCGTGGGCGGTCCCCACAGGTTGCCTCGGGCGGCGGCCTCCTGCTGGCCTACTCGGCGGGCAGCTACCTGGACTGGGAGCACCTGGCCAGCTTGTGCGCGTTGCCTCCGCTGCTGCTCGTCTACCTGTCTAGCTACGTGCTGGAGAGTCCCTACTGGCTGCTTCGAAGGGGTAGGCAGCGCGAGGCCGGCATCGCCGCCAACAGGCTGTACGGTTTCCAGATCCCCACCGAGATCAAGCACCTGTGCATCGACGGGTCCCTCGGGGTGATCAGTGGCGGGCACCAAGGCTGGCACGCCAGGTGAGGCTGCGCTCAGCCTTCTCACTGCGCCAAGGTATTCAACAGATATGACAACTAAGTGGTTAATCGACGCAATTATAGTTTGTTTGGCACTGGTAAGTTTTGTCCTGAATAGTCTTTGCAAGACCCGGAGCAAATATAAGTATCGCGACTCAGCCATTTTCACATTTTTTTTTAGGTCCCTATCTCAAGAAAGACAACACGTTCCACAATACACTATAACGAAGATGGTCATTTACGTCGTGGTACCTCTCCCACTTAAATGTAAACATTTCAGCGGAACTTTTTCTTACCTCTCCCACTCCATACTGATTTCTAGCGTGCCACTTATCACAAGAAGCTACTCGCAGCTCCAGTAAAGTACATGTCTTAAGGGTCCAAGGTGTCCAAGCTGCTCAGTGACAATCACGCGCTGAACCGCTCTCGAGCAAGATAAAACATCGCGCGACGGCTCATGTGACTTTGTTAAATGAGGACACGAACCACTAACGTTGTACTCGCCACGTTCTTTGGTACGGTATACGCTCCGCCCTCCCCCGCAAAGAAGGCGTCGGGAATAAGTGGCTGCGCGGTGAAGCGCGCCTGGATGCCGAGGATGAAACCAAAACTAAATTTGGCCTTTGTGTTTATACAGCGAAAGATCGATCTTCCTTTGAGGTGCGGCTTCACACTAAAGTCACTAAATCCCGAGAAAATAGCGCCATTGCCTTCTTCGCCTGCTAGCCGGACACAAGCAGACGACCAAACCTTGCTGGATGATTATCTGAGAAAGAAAATTTTATTTACATATCTACAAATTCAGCAACGCTAGGCCACACCTACTAACTTTACATCCTACTTAATGAGACAGGGTAGTGGGGCGCACGCAAACCCTGTTGCCACTCACGAAAAAAAAAAAAAAAATTAGAGTGTTAACGTTTGAGGAATTTCTTTTATCCAGAGTCCACAGTTGGTTCTCAAGGTGGTCGGCCATCTTTTCTCGTAGCGTTCGCAGCGTTGGAAACATTGGCCTAAAATGCTACATTCCCGCAAGACTCAGTGGGCTAGGATCACGATGAATTTGGCGAAACGACTACGTACACGCGTTTGGGAGCGGAAGCAGGTCGCAAACATCTGTGACACCAGTGCCCCAAAAGTGCGCGCGACTACATATGTGTCGAATGCATGCTGATTTCTCTATGGGGACGCGTAAAGTCACTGAATCGATTCCCGGAAAAGCACCGCCATTGCCTTCCCTACCTGCTAGCCGGACACAAACAGATATCACTCTTAGAAAAAAGGGTATGGATATTCCTCCCTCAGGGGATGAACGGTCTTGTAACCTATACTAACCTACAGACGACCAAAACCTCGCAAGGCGCCTACGTTGCCATGGAAATCGCCATTTTGGTCGATTCAAATCTTCGAAGCTTCCAATGGGTCGTTCTAAACCAGACGTGCCAAGATCACCATGGAGTATCATCGTACTGGAAGCGTTCCTCGCCAATATAAGCGTCTTTGGCTCTGTGTATGCAATCAGGTTATCAAGCATGCCCAACTCCACGGATCTCTCACAATTATATTGTTCTTCTTGTGTATTTTAAAACAGTAAACTTATTTTTCAGTTCCTCCGAGCACCGACACAGCATGTGGTGGTGGTACGAACATGTACGCTACTTTTGCCGGTTTCTGGATAGCAAAACCTCGGTATATAACAAACGTCTTCATAAAGCTACCCGTCACCAGCGAAATTAGATCGGCTCACCAAGAACGAAGGGGGCAAGGAGAAATGGCTCATTTCATGGACCAACATGGCGACCATACGGGAAGCTTGGCCTTATGTTCTCAGGATCCTTGACTTCAGGGACGCGCAGGGCAACCGTCAGTCGCGGCGACTCACGTGCCAACCTGTCCCTGGTGGGGTAGAACATTCCACCCATACCCTTAGCCGATGTCGGCAACTTGCCGTACATGTTCTCCCAGGACACCCGGAAGCTCTGAGCTTGGTTTCGGGTAGAAGCGTCAGCCACGCAAAGGGCTTCGCACCGGCGACGCCGCTCTCTCTTGGACACTGACGTCGGGCAACGCCTCCGCTACCTGGCGTTGCATTGCGGCAACCATGGCGTAGTACGGCAAATGAATCTCTGCCGCCGGACACAAGTTTCCTAGCCCTCGAGGGACAAGGACCCGGCGTTGCCCGCGAAGATATCTTTGACCTCTAAAAAGCTATCAGAATAGCGTAAAAACAACGACACGTCATCCGCATAAGCGGACACAAATACCGTGCCTAGACCAGGGATAGGAAACCGCGAAAAATTTTGCTTTTGTGGATCCTTCACGCTTTTTGGTGCCTACCTAGGTCCAGGTGGGCCACAAAAAGCATGGGGGACAACGGGTAGCCGTGTTCTACCCCTCTAATAACTAAAAAGCTCGCCGTCAGATGCTTATTAACAACGAGCTCGCTGAACATGTCTTTATAAAAGTTTTCAAGAAGTCGAATGAATAATCGAAGAAAACCAAAGGGCAGTCGAACCACCGTATAGATAATTCTGCTCGGCTTGATCAAGAGCTTTCACTTGGGCAAGGGAAACAAAGGCTCCTTTTAACTGACCTGAGGCTGCGTACGCGAACAAATTACTTGTCAACGACAAAGCAAGGATGCTACGTCCAGAAAGGTCTCGAAGAAACGTTTTTTTCTTTCTTTACACATTTGTTATTTTCCCGACTTACCGGGAGGGGGCAGACTTAAAGATCTGACAAGGCCTCTGTTCCCTTTACAGTTCTTAAGTATAGCAATGCACATATTTTTGTACAAGAAACAACAACAAAACATCCTCACACTTTAGAGAAGTATGTACAACTCTACATCAACTATGCAGTGGAAAAAATGTACATAACACTCAGAGATGTTTTAACACAAGCCTAAAATCTTAGAGTCTCTAACATTGGAAATACGGTATGCGGAAAGAAAGATATATTGTGACGAAAACAGATCGTTGCGTTTCTTATGACGGTTTACTGACACGGGCCCCAACGAAGGTCGGCGATAATGATGAAGATGAATGGAAGACGCGTCCGTTTGGTTCGTCACAATATAATTGATAGGACTTATGAAAGGCACATAAATAATAAATATTAAAAAAGCAATGTCACTGCTCACCAAAAGTGTCTTTACATTTTTTATTTTTTTTTATTGGAGAAATTTTAAATAAGTCAATGTTATCTTATTTAGGATTTTTGAGACTAGGGCCTGTTTGCTCGAAAGCGCTAACCGCGGCTAAAGTTAGCCGCAGTACCTAGGATAGGGACTTAAAATCTCAATGATAGATTGGCACGATAGCTATTTGCAATGGTTTCTATAGACGCTTTCGAAGTTGAAGAAAAAAATGCGTTAGCATCGTCTGCGTACATGACAAGTTCCGGGGATTCCATAATAGTTGATATCGGTCACATAAATAATAAATAAAAGGGGTCCCAAGATAGACCCTTGCGGAAGACCGTATTTAGTTATGAGCATGCTAGAAAAATGTTAATATTTACATACTGCAATAGATTTTGGAGGTAACTTTTTTAATAAATCAGGTGCAATCTCAAGTATGCCGTATCGTTGAAGCTTATTATTAGCATGTTTTGTTAAATAGTATCAGAAGTTTTGTTTAAGATCTAGAAATAAGCCTAATGGTTACAGCTTATTTTCAATGTTGTTTATCATATCCTTTATCTCCACAAGAGCCTGCTCCGAAGATCTTAATTATGTAAAGTCATTATTTATTAGATTGGTTTATAGTTCCGTAGAAGATGTATCCTCCTCCCCTGTAAACGGGAGTTACTCTCGGAATCTTCAGTTCGCCAGGAAATATCCCAGCTTTTAAAGTAAGAGTAATAATATACGACAAAATATGACATATACGTTGTGCGACATATTCGACAGGCAAACCTTTTTCAAAGCGTGAGTGCCTGCTGCAGCATTAATTTTTAACGTTATTTATTGACTTTTTTACTTCGTATGGTGTTATTGGTAATGACATTTACGTGTTTGATACGGAAGTCATGGCCTTTGTGACGTGGCGTTGCAAGTTATTTTTGTGTGTTACAGCTATGAGCCAACGTCTACGAAATGCATATTCATCGAATTTGATAGTTCCTGGCCGTTCACGTTTCAGCCATCAGCAGTCACACTTTGTGTTCCTTGAATACGGGTTTTAGAGCGCAGCTCTTAGGCGCCCGTTTCCGGCTTGAGCGGCGTCGGCATCGGCGTCGGCGTCAGCGTGACCGTAAGGTCCCGTTACCCCCCAGGTCACGTGACCCGCAAGGTCACGTAAGGTCACGTGACCCCCCAAGGTCACTTAGGGAAGAGGGGTATACCCTCACCTCAGTAAACTTCCCTCTTCCTCCTGAAGGGCTGCGCTCCGATTCGGCGTTACAGGGAGTTGTAAACGGCTTTCATTTTTTTATCGGTGATTGTTTTTCCAGTTTCCCATACCCTTCGTAGGTGGCTCTTGAAAATAGGTTCTGTTAATACTCAGATTTCGCTTTCTTAAGATCGAAGGTTATTTTGTTTCTAAATTTCTTAAATTGGGTGAGTAGATTTCTACTCACTTGTATGAGCGGGATCGCACCGTCATAACAAAGCTTAAATTTGTGCAAAAAGCTATTATTCGCAAGATTAGGGTCCTCTAGGACGACGTCGTCCTCAACGTCGTCCTAGAGGTCGTTCTTAAAGTTGTTCAAGAGGTTATCCTAGACGTCGTCTTGAGGTTGTCCTAGAGGTCGTTCTTAAAGTTGTTCAAGAGGTTATCCTAGACGTCGTCTTGAGGTTGTCCTAGAGGTCGTCCTTGAGATCACCCTAAAGGCTGTCCTAGACGTCGTCCTAGACTTCTTCCTTGAGGTCGTTCTAGAGGTCTTCCTCGAGATCACCCTAAAAGTCAATCCAGACGTCGTCCTCCAAGTCGTCCTAGCAAGCAGATGAACCCGCGCCGCACATGCACGGAACGGCAGTACGCACGCATTCGCATTTGCGCCCAAGGTACGGAGCAGTCATCGGTTTGAGTTGAGCCAAATGGTACATGGTCAATGATGGTAGTGAAACAGCTTGAACACTAAACGATTACGCAAAGACAGAAAATTAAACGATTATACAGAGACAAAGCAATCACCCATTTTCGAAGTGGCGGGCTGCAGTCGCGCTGATGTTAATGATTGCATCGTAAACCAATCATAAAATGTAGTGTTTACTCAAAATTTGCGTCGTCGTATTCACAGTGAGCTGCGTCGTGAATCTCATAACGAATGCTATCGCAACTCATAGACAACGAACAGTCGTGGTTTCTGCCTTCAGTTTTTCTTGGTTATCTTCTTGGTTGCCAAAAAAACAAGTGCAAGTAGAAACGGCCAAGGATTCCACGCTACAGGTCTTGATCAAGTATTTCGAGATCGGATGGCCAGCCAAAAGACTGCTGGCCTAGAAGTTGATACCCTCCTATCAGCTTTGGGAGAAATTTTTCGTCGTGAACAGTTTAAGCGCCGTTAACACACTTGCAACTGAGTAGGACGGAGAGAGACGAGACTGGGTTTTAAGCCTGCTCAGTAGCAGCGCATCCCTCCTCCGCCGTCGTAAGAGGCTCAAAAACAGGTCTTGTCTCTTTCAGTATTAAACGGTTGCAAGTGCGTGCCGGAGTCGTTGACCTTGGACATGTTTGTTTCACACACGAGGTGCACCTAGGCTTGTTAAAAACAAAATGGAGACTTCGAGGCAAGTTTTGGTCGCCTCGGATGGACAGACAGGTGGAGCGTACGGTGAAAATCTGTCACGTGTGTCAATGAGCTGACAACTCAGCAAAGCCTGCCGTGGCGCCACTACGTCCGGTCGCCTTCCCGGAAAAGCCCTGGCAGAAGCTGGCGATGGACGTCGTCGGTGTCACCGCCCACTGCAAGTCCCAAGTTTGTCATCACCCTTGTGGATCACCATTCAAAATGGCCGCAGGCAGGCTTTGCAAATACGATTACGTCACAAGCAGTGATAGAATAATTGCGGTGCGTTTTCAGTAGAGATGGCTCTCCGGAAAAACTCGTGACGGACAACGGCTCACAGTCGAAGTTTCAATTTTTCGAAGACTTTCTGAGGGAAAGAAGCATGAATCACTTTGTCTTATCAGTGTATTATTCGCAGGCCAATGGGTTGGTCGAAAATTTCAACCGGAGTTTGAAGGATTTTACTCAAGTTTCAGTGCTGGAGGAACGGTCGTTGAAAGAAGCAATCGTGGACTACATGAATGTATATAGATCTACCCCGCACTCAATCACAGAAGTGTCCCCTGCTCAGTTACTTCACGGACGCCAGCCGACCCGCTTTGCAATATTTGACTTTCCGAAAAAGAACCTTTTCCAGGAGCTATTTTCGGCGATGGAGCAGTTGCGAGCTCGCGTGCACGCCACGCAGGGTGCAATGTAAGCATTCACGGATGTAAAAAGAAGGGCCAAGACTCCGAGGCTCAAGGAGAGAAATTACTTGCGGGTTCGTAAACCCACAAGTGTTGGTAAGGGAGAGCTTTCCTCCTCCCAGCCACTGAAGATAAAGAAACAGCTGGGGCCAGGCACTTTCCTACTGGAAGACGGTCTTTAAGCTAGTGGATGTTCCCGATGAGTGCATAAAAGGAAAAAGACAACAGCCGCTACTTTTGCTGCCCATTTCTTGAGATCAATCTCCCAGCCATCTCTGAAAACCAAAGCGCAGACCCTGTTGAAGACCATCGCCGAGAGGTTTCGGCAACGCCTGAACATATCCAGCAGGACGCGGATTCCGTCGATGAAAGTCGCCTGCAAGCGTTAGCGAGGCCATTACCAACTCCAGAAGGTGCCAGTCCTGTTAGCGGGCGTCGGCCGGAAGATTCTGAAACACCCTCACCGGCTTCAGAGGTAACTATACGAACAGAACCAGCTCACAGGGAACCATCCACAAGAGAGAGACGAGTGCCCGCTCCCGTTTTCAGGACTACTGCCTGTAAATTCGTTTATTCTTAGAATGTAACCTGTAAATTACTTACTTTTTTGTCAAAAGAAAAAGGGTGGGGTGAGAATTTTTTTTTTTTTAATGTTGGCAGCTATGTGCATAATATGACGTCATCGGGGCACTGATTGATTAAAGAAAGAGCTAGGTTTTCGTTCATCGTTCGAACGGACTGGTCGGCCCTTTCTTCGTGTCCTCATGTCACCAGAGTTACTGATGGTGTGGTTCAAGCTCGAAGCAGTCTGTGTTGTCCTGTTGTCGGCACAAAATTCGCTTATCCTTCGAACCAGACAACGAGCGTTGTCCAATTTAATTTGCTGCTGTTCTTGTTGCCTAAAGCTGTCACACCGAGGCAAAATTGTCGCTGTCGTTCATGTTGTGCTGATGTTCCCGCAATGAGATTGGTCTGTGGGGCAACATAGCCAACGACCAACATGTTGCGGTGACGTCGCCGTCGTGTTTCCTCGATGTGATAGGGCGTTAACAGACTCGGCCATCGAACCCCCGGGACAGCCGGCTGAACCGCTGCGCGCTTCTCTCCCGCAGGAAGATCGCCGTCTGCGTGTCGCTCCAAGCGCTGCACAACCTGTCGTGCGCGCAGCTGCTGCTGCTGCGCAACGTGCAGGTGCTGGCCCCGCTGGCCTCGGACTTTTCGCCGCACATGGGCGCCATCGGCATGGCCTCGCTGCACCTGGGCGTCTCATCGGTGGCTGCCGGCCTGACGCGGCAGCTAGGCAGGCGACCGCTGCTGCTCGTGTCCGCCTTCGTGGTAGCCTTCAGCTTGAGCGTCTTCAAGCCCCTGGACCAGGGGGTGCCCGAGGCGTGGCCGCCCGAGCCGGGCTCCGAGCCGAGCTCCAAGCCGGGCTCGGAGCACGGCTCCGAGAAGGCCGCCCTGGTGGCGCTCTGCTCGCTCGTGGTGGGCCACTCGCTGGGCCTGGGCCACGTGCCCTCCCTGGTCATGGGCGAGCTGGTACCCGGCCGGATGCGCTACTCGTGCTCGGCCTGCGTGTCCGCCTTTCGCTGGCTGCTGGGCTTCCTCATCCTTCACTTCGACGTGCACTTCGTGAGCCTCGTCCGCTACAGGAACTCCTTCCTGGCCCTCAGCCTGGCCGCCTTCCTGCTTGCCTGCGCCGTGGCCGTCTACCTACCAGAGACTGAGGGCCGCTCCCTGGCCGACATCGAGAAGGACGACTGAGGCGTCCTTCCCGAACCCCTTCGGCAGACGCTCCTATTATCCCCGCTTCGTGCTAGATTTTTGTGGGCAACAAATGGGAACACCGCGGTGCAAAAATGATATACTTCATCCACGCTGGCTCCGCAGCGTGGTTTTTTATACGCGGGAAATAAACCGTGTTTTCTTAATAAATAAAATATTCATCGTTCCAGATGCTTTTTTATTCCCTGGTTTAAGATAGGTTTCACTTTTTCCTTTTATTTCGCCCCTTGTCGACACACCCAGCGGCGCGTGCATTGGCTGACGGAAACCTCGCCTCAGGACGTCTGGCGAAGAGGAGCCTATCAGCCCTTCGACTCCACGCAAACATCTGCCGGATAATCACGAACCCGCACTGGCAAAGAACGTCACGCTGCTGAGTGTGACGCTTCATAATCTTATGTAAAACAGAAACTTGATCTGACTCTGGCCCTTTTTCGCCATTCGTTGACCCAAATTGACGATCGTTTTTTCGAGTCCTGTCACCTGTGTGCCGACACCAGATGATTGAAAAGCATTTACGCGTCCCAGGTTTATTGGAATGTCCCGCTCTCAAGACTATCCCTACCACGCGTGCATAATTCGCGTTTCCTAATGTACTTCCTTCCCACTTATGACCGAAAAAGAAAGACTAATTTCAAAACAGGCAGCGCCTCATCGCGGCCTAATGCCACGTTATGCACTGTGGGAATCAGTGGGCAGCAAAATCCATGGGCGCTCCGCTCCTGGCCCACGGGTTCCCAGAATGCAACGCGCGTGGTGACGGATTTATGGAAGAAGTCTATTCCTTACACTCCGTCTGGGTACCAAAAATACTAGCAGCGACGCGTATGTCACGTAAGATCCCGGATTTCAACACTCGCGCGGAATTAGCTTCTCGCCTCTCTATGTCAACCAGGCCGACAGAAACGTCTGCATAGTTGAATTCAGAAAACAACGAAAAAGCTGACTTTTATAAAAACGTAAACTTAGCGTTCTGTTTTTTGGGGAGTATAAATATCACCAAAATTTTGCCTCGAAACGGCACTAAGCGTAAAAAAAGTGAAGAAAAAAAAAAAGAGACTTTCGGCGGCCTGTTGCCGCCGAACGTCGTTGGTTGGTTGAGCCGTGACGTCATGAAATGACCAGGCGCGATTCTAACCGTCTTTCGCACAACGATCAACTGGCCATCCTTACCTCGTTTCGTCTCTGGTTCGTATAAGCTCCTCGGGATCGCTAATGTGCCTGCCTCTTCCGTAGAATTATGCTCGGAACTGCTAAATCGCTAAATTCGTAAAAAAAAAAATAATAAAAAAATTAAATCTTTGTGTAATGGCATACTGGCGGAGAAAAAAAAAAAAGACTTTTGCAAAGTTTTTTTTTCTTGCCAGTTTAGAAATTTGTTTATCTTCGAGACACTTTTCATAGGAGGGGAGAAAAATCCCAACCACTCCCCAGGCGCCGAACAAGGACAGCACGAGAGAGTGCGCGGAGACGACCGTCGTTCATACGTATGACGTCACGAGAAAGATCCTCAGCTCCAGTCAACGTGTCTGATGGTCTCTAAAAAGAACGGCGGAGGCTTGGCGTAATTACATTCTAAGATCAACACCGTCAAAGTTGACAGTTTGGTATCGTTCTTATTTCCGCCGATAACGCAGAATTTAATAAAAAAATGAAAGCCGTTTACAACTCCCTGTAACACCGAGGCCGTGTTCCAAAATTTACTCGACCTTACTCCAGGGTAAGGGTTTTGTACCCTTGGCGTTCTAAAACCTACCCGCGTCCAGCGTTTTGCAATCTGTGCTGTCACGTGATACGATCCGCCGGAGTACCTCGGATCCATTTGGGTAAGGTTTGGAACACAGCCCGAATTAGAGCGCAGCTCTTGAGGAAGAGGAGGGAAGGGTACTGAGGGGAGGGTATACCCCTCCTCCTCACCTCCTGATCCTGCCTGCTACTCGTCCCTCTGGGCGGCATCGGCGTCGGCGTAACCATGAGGTCACGTGACCCTCGTGACCTCACGGGGGCCACGTGACCTCACAATTACGCCGACGGCGACGGCGACGCCGCTCAAGCTGGAAACGGGCGCCTAAGAGCTGCGCTCTAAAACGTACCTGTCTTTCCTTTGAATTTTCTCGGCCTTTTGAATATGATAAAAGTGTAACCCGACGTGGCAAGCTTAGTACCAGCCGAGTAGCGTTGTCTGCCCTCGGACGAATTTTGGCTTTTGGCAGTTGTTCCCCCATTGGCGGAATAAAATAATTTACTGTTTTCTTTTTGTTTATCTTTTTTCGTTTTTCTACGTAGTTTACCAAAAGCGTCGGAATGGTTGTCTTGCCACAATTAGTCAAACTGGAATTAATTCCGCTCTCATCAACGGAAATCAGAGTGATGTCAGGTTGTCAATGCTAAGTTACACACTGCTAAGTTACAATATGAAGTAAAAAGAATACTTTTTTTTAAATTTTATGCTATAAAACTTGGTGAGGAACTTTTTCAACTCTCCCTAATTTGTTCGTGTTATCGAAAAGTAACTGAAAAGTGACGTCGTTAAAAGTAACTGTAACTGTAACAAGTTACTCTTTTGTTGCGGTAACTGTAACTTACCCAAGACTGTACATAGCGCCCACCAGACATTTCAGAAAGGTACAATAAAAAAAATTACGAGTGAGGGAGATCCCCCTTCACTATTATCGGCCCTCCCACCCTCCCCATCTCTTCGGAACATTTTCTAGAAAACACCCTGTCCTCGACTTTTTTTTTTTTTTTTTTTTCTTGTGCGCGCGCGTGTCTGTATTGGTCGTACCCCCCCCCCCCCCCCCCCCCTTTTCTTCTTCCTTCCACAGTCTTTGGTCGCCAACCCCCGTCGCCCCCTCATCTCTCAAACATTACCGACGTCACTACCCACACCGTCTCTGCAGCGATCCCGGTAGCGTTGTTGACAGCGGCGGAAGATGAGCTTTAATACCGCGCATACCGCGTGCGGCTCCACAATATCACGAAGTTTAATCTTCGCCTCGATGACTGCTTTCCAAAGTTGTCAAACGTCACCTGGTCGGCACCAATAACTTGCACAAGCGACGATTTCGCGTCGAAAAAGTTCAGGGCATTCACAGCCCGCCTGTAGGGCGCGACGTTATCGGTGCAGCCGTTCAATCGGCTGGCCCCACGGTGTTGCTCGCGCGCGCTCCGATGAATCTCGCTACAACTTTGTGCCTAAAGGCCCGTTCACACCCTTGCGACCGAGTACGACCGAGAGAGACCAGACCGGTTTTTAAGCCTCTTGCGATCTCTTAGGACCAGCTCCGCTGCAGCGCATCCGGTCCTAAGAAGTCGCAAATGGCTTAAAAACCGGTCGGGTCTCTCTCGGTTGTACTCGGTCGCAAGAGTGTGAACGGCGCTTAACATTCTCGCTGGAATTTGAGCACCGAGAGCTTGGATGATTGACGTCTCGTCCCGCATGACGTCATGATTGGATGATTGACGAGCTCAGTGACCCTAGACTGGCAACCATTTACTGAAATGAACGTTTTATTCCCACCCATTCGTTACGAGATGTGAAACTAATGAGTGTGGAAGATAATTAAATGGGTTGCTAGTCCAGCTGTGTGTGTCCCCTTTTCTTTCTCCCTTTCTCCGTGTAATTTCCTACGTTCAACTGTCATCTTCCAGAAGCCTGAATCCCCAAGTAGCTCCATATCGAATATGCACGACGCTATCTCTGCAAGCTGAGGAGCACGCGCGAAGCCCCTTTTGTGACGTCATGCTTTCTTTTCTCCTTTTAACTATCTCCCGTTGCCCCGAAGGAACGCGGCTTCAACGCAACTTCGAAGGCGTCTTTTTAGGTAATACGGACATGAAATAGCCTACTTTTTGTTATATTCGTGATGCTTGAAGACGGATTAAAAAGAATTAAGTTTTTTTAACCCCCAAAATTTTCCGCCCGTCCGTCCGTCTGTTCATTTCCCGCTAAACTTATCGAGGAAATGTATATCACGAGACCTACACATGAATTCAGTTTTTCGGCTAAATTTAGCGGGAAAATGTATGTCACGTGACCTGACGTCGCGGGACAAACGGACCAATTCAGTTTTTCCACTAAATTTAGCGGAAATATTAACGTCACGTGACCTACAATAGACCAGTACCGTTTACCCGCAAGACTTGGCGGGAAAGTGGCGCCACTCGACGTCATCAGACGGGGCATGACCTATACATAATGGGGAAATTGATGCCACGTGACCTTTCCGTCAACTCAGTTTCCCCGCTGTATTTAGCGAGAAAATTCAAGCCTTGCGGTCAAATCATCAATTCCGTTTCACCGCTAAATTTAACGGGAAACCGACGTCACGTGACCTGTATATCAATTCAGTCACCCGCTAAATTTAGCGGGAAAATTCACGTCTTGCGACCTAGACACCCATCCAGTTCCCCCGCTAAATTTAGCGGGACAAACCGACATGACGTGACCTGAAGTCACGTGATCTATACAGCCATTCAGTTTCCCGCTAAATTTAGCGGGAAAATATATGCCACGTGATGCACTAATTCCCTATACTGAATTTCATGCATTATAAGAATTAGAAGATAAATGTCGCTGCCCATTTTTCAAGCACGTCACATCCACGTTCTTCCGCAGTTACATGTTGCGGCCTCCCCAGGTGCCTTCAGCGGCTCGCAGATTGCTTTATAGCGGCGAGATATTTCGGTGGCGCCCTCTTATGGTTCCTTCTCGTGACGTCATTACCTTGTGAACAACATGTTTGATGGTGTTTGTAATCAGCATGGTGGAAGCCTGAAATCGAAATTGAAGTTCTTCCATCACTCTTTTTTCGTCCATGAGAAATCCTTTGCTGACGTTATAGACAATTGCAAGCAATGCGCCACAAGTGGTGCCCCATGCATGCAAGCGCGTGCAACGCGCGGGTGAACGTAGCTTTGGCAAGCTCGTAATCGCACGGCCGTGCCTGCTCGAGCAGAGACATGGCGGCGGCCAGTCGCCCAGCTTGCAATCGTCTATAGTCAGCAGTCGGTGAATCGTTGCAGGCCGATCCCAGCGACGCTTGAGTTACAGTTGAGAGTAGCGCGTGTCCCTGTCGTTTGTGTTATTTCCTATCGTC